GCGTGTGTGTGTGTGTGCTTGTGCATGTATGAAAGCTTGGATGCTGATTCCTCATTCTTTCAAAGTTAATTCTTCTCTCTTCACTTCCGCATTTCCACAGTTGTGCTGAGCAGGCTCATACTCGTTTGAAGGAAGCACAAAGAGGAGTCCCATCTTTCTCTGCACCATTTTTTGCCTTCATTGCCATCGGACAAGCGTGTGACACGCTCGGGCTTGGACGGGGGTAGGACGAGGGTATGACGAAGACGGGGACGTGGCTGGCATCGAAATGGAGGGGTCGGTATGTCAAGAGTTCGGCTTGAGAACACTGTTCTGATCCGTGTCTAAATGGCCCCCGTCACATACAACTCCGGCACTAGCGAAGAGTCATACACTCCTTTCTCCTCTTGCCAGGCGTCTGTCGTCTCCCAGCTCTTCCTAGTCCCTTCAACTTCCGTCCTCTTCGCCCCTGGTCTGATCCCCTCATTTCGGGCCTCCCCGACTTCCATCACCAGTCCTGAACCCACGGCTCCATAGCACTAAGGCTCTCCCCTTCTACTTGCAGCTCTATCAACAACCTCGTGTTGGTCAGTATTGACCAGCCCCTTGAATAAACCAATCAAGCCGATTGCCTCGGCATCTAACCGTGACATGAAAGCATGCATTTTTCCCATCACGACGTACCCGATGAAGCACACCTTTGACACACGCACACACACATACACACACACACACGCCTTCAGGCGTACTCACGTGCGTGCAAAGCCGCGTCTTTAACAAAGTGTGTGTGTGTGTGTGAAAAAGAAAGCAAAAACGGGTAGAAATGCACCACCTTATATATCTCTTCATTCGGACACATAAAGGCTTTATGGGAATTTTGACACAGCCTTAACATGAATTAAGAGCACTGTAATGCGCAATGTATCACGTAGACACATCAACGCACGTGCACAGACGAACACACACACACACACACACACCAAAGCACTCTCCAGTCGAGCTATACGTACATCCAGCCTCCATTGGCCGGTGCTCGCATACGAGCGGCCGAGTACGTGTGGAATGGGGACGGCGGATGGGACGCTTTGACTCGGCAGAATGCGGTGATTTCCCCAGTTTGGTTCAGGGGAGCCGGACGCTTCAGATGGTTGATATATGCGTCAGGTCGCACGTCAAATGTCTGCATCTATTGAATAGCGTGAGAGGTGACTAAGTGGGCCTCTCGATTCATATGAGTTTGTAGATTCATGTATATACGCGTATATTACGAAAATTTTACTGGATCCACTCGCGATGCACGAGACAAGACGATAGAAGATGGAAAACATGTCAAATTAAGCACGTAAGAGTGATCTAAGAGTCTGATGAGCACAAAATGCATCCCTTGGTAGATGACATCTGTCTTTTTTACACTTTCCAACTCTACAGGTTTGCACGGGTTCGCTTGCACGAACCGCCCCATTTGTCAACATCGACAGACGACCCTTCACCGTCGAGTTGGCAGCAAGTCAGGCCTTGAAGAGGTGCACTTGCATGGCCTACCCTCATCAACGGCACTGTTTTACCACTTTTGCTGCCTTCCATCAAAATAGACTCATATCATTATTATCCTTCTTATTCGTTTGTGCCCATCCGTGCTCAGCCAAAGCTGGCCTGTACTAGTGGCAATCAGCAACATCATTCGCATTATCTTCTGCGGGGTTCGTACTCGGCAATCGCAGCTGCCGAACTCGTGTCGAGTCGACCAGTTGCAAAGCAGCTTTATGATGATTCGCGGTTATTTCTTAGTCGGCACACTCCAATTGATCACGACTTTTGGCCAGCCATCGACGGTGCTTCCACCAGAATGCGATGGCGCAGTCCTCCTTTTCAATCCGGTCATGACGTGCTAAGCTTCCTGCACCTCATCACGGAACTCGTCAGAACAGGACAGCATTCCTACAACCCTTTTTAAGATGAGCAGTCAAGTAAACTCACCGGTTTATCCCAAAATGCTGTATCTATAAGCCCCCTTGATGAGGTATGCAGAGTGATTTGGTTACTTCCAAATGTATGCATGTACTTATGCGCCCTCATGTGCAAGTATATGTACGCAACCAGTCGGGATGGTCCAAAGTAATTAGAACCGATCCGCCCTCTCCTATTTTTATTAGGTTATATGCACCGCAGGTAGCGATAAGCTGATGATTGTTTAGACTCGTTAGATTGGATTTGGCCATCGGAAGAATCCCCAGTTCTGATGATGTCTGTCATATGACGCACGTGTTCACCGGATTCGAAGAATATGGCCTCGAAACAGCTTCAACAAGAATGTTTGAGTAGTACCAACCGACAGTTGTCCAAGAAGAAAACTTCCTTGTCTCCTGATGGAACCGACCGTCGAGTCCATTTGTCACACATTCTCCATTGAAAGTGAAATTAGTTGACAATCATTTGTTTAATAGAACATATGAAGACCAAGATGGTGTGGCCTGTAAAGTCGAAAAGTGTCATCTGCCGAGGGATTCAGCTTGTGCTCATCCGACACTTAGAGCATTGTTACGTGCTTACTTTGACATGTATTCCAGTTTATACAGCTTGACTCTAGAAGTTATCATGGATTTTATGAACTCCGGACAAGGTGCGTTTCTATGGGTCTCCCTTTATTTAATACAACCGTTGTGACCACATCCACTTCATTTTCATACATCGACTTTACCCGTCTGCAAGCATGGTGGAAGAGCAACCTGCTTTAATGTTCTTCAGGACGAAAAAGACGAAGCAACATTACGGTTTTATCGAGTTCGTAGAACTGTGAAGAGACGAACCTTCTGCACAATCCTTCGATAATCGGTTCTGCCGACCCTTGACTCAGATTCAGCCAACCTTTCATTCGAAATGGGAACGTCGAGGCACACAATACCAGTTTAAGCTGATGTTCATGTTTAGCACTGACAGCGATTCTGACCGTGACGGCTTGAAGAAAAGAACTGATTTTGATTACACACTTCCGGAGTGAATGGCAGTCAGGACGTCTTCTCATCGCATTCTCAGCACTCTCGGCGGAATTCGATGTATCGACGACAAATCGGTACGATCCAAAAGTGTAAACTAACTGCAAGCAAACAGCTGATTAAAAACGAAAAATCTATGATGCAGCCTCCCTTGACTGGTATTCGTGTTTAGGTGGTGCTTTCAGGG